TTGGCACGTGGGACTTGGGTCCCGTTTAACAACATCACTGGATAAAAGACATGTTGCCGATGCAGATTTATCCATACCTGAGCGATCGCCGCGAAATAAACGAAACAGACGTAAAATATGTCGAAACGTGCAATTTGCAGAAAGTATGGGACAGCTCTGACTCGCTGAATGGAAATAGCTGCTTACTATATTTAATCTTTATTTGATCTTTATTCCAGTGATCGGCGGAGATTTTTTAACACGATGGAATGCGATCACTGTGGGAAAGGGAAGGGGAAGTGAGGGGGAAAAAGGACAATTTTTATCGTTTTGATATTTTTTGATAAAAGTCTTTCTTAATTTAAAGAAGTTTCCGGTCTTTTAGCTTACGAAGGAACCACCTTCATGCTCAACCTTTCAAGTTAAGGCTACAAATGTATGTAAATTTTATTTCCGTACGGAAATATAATTTTCTGGATTCTTTTTTGTTTTGTTGTGGGTAAAAAATCTTTGCTGTAACCATTCTGAATATCACTCCTTAAACTGACTGGACGTTTCAGTCACGAATGTTGACATCTTTGATAAAAAGCAGTCTAGTCTTTACATAGTGTACAGCGTTTCTTTTATTTTTCGCTCAAGTGCCTTTTTAGTGTCCATTTGTACTAAGGATTCGCTCATTTGCTTTGCTGACCGCGGAGAAGGGGAATAGGACTCCTGGTTTGTATGCGGAAATTTTCGCTTCATGAATTTTACAACTTTTTGCCATTTTTTTTTTTTTGGAAAACATTTTTTTTCCCACGACCCACACCCATGACCCACGACCCACGACATTTAGCTACACTCCAAACCTTTGGCGCGACAGATGGTCGCGCGGTTGACGTCAGACTTCAAAACTTTTCTCATCACGCTTAAAAGCCAAACTCCTCCTATCACAAGACAGGAAGGGGCGTTTCTAAAATATCAACAATATCTCAAGACGGTTTTTCTCACTGCCTTTTCCCCTCGCCCCCTCCCCATCGTTTCCTTTCTCGTCCTCGGTTCAGCTTTCGCGCGGCTGATTCTCTTACTTTGCGAACCACGAAAAAAAAAACAGACCAAAAAATCCCGCAAGCACCTCAGGCTGTCTTAATCACGAGAGTCGCTAATAGCTTGAGCTTATTTCAAACGCTGATTGAAACGACTGTAATTTATTTTTTGCCGGATATTTGGCGGCTGTTCGTGTTATCGGGGTGTTCGCAAGGCGATGGCAGATATTATATTTCTACCTGGAGTTTTGAAAACCGGGTTGCCTGAAATCTGAAATCACTTCCAGGACATTGCAGGCAATCTTCGCTCTTCAGGGCTAACCACCTTCAGCCTTTGACTATGGGCTCTAAATGACCTCCTGGAATTGACAGAAATTAGATAAAATTATTGAAAAAAATGGTCGACGGGGGCTTCCGTCAAGGTGTGTGTCAGCTTGTTGCGAGGGCATAGGGCTATCAGCTGGTATGCATTTGGGGTAGCCTGGCTAAATTGCAGATAGTTTTGTTTGTGCTTGACTATGGCTTTGCTGAAATTTCGACCGGGGCTTATCTCTGTTTCCCTGGGCTCGGTGTCTCCTTCAGATTGAGGGGGGATGGCCTAAAGTTTGATGTTTTACCTCCCTTAGATGTAGTTTGTTTGTAGTTTCCACGCAAGCTATGATAAAAACACTTTGTTGCTAATGTTCCCAAGTCAGCAAACAGTTGAATGGTGGGTTTAAGAACCTCTTTTTTTCGAGACATGTTGTTTTGGATTGTATTTGGGAGACCAATGGCATTGCAAAATGCGGTGAATTGATTTGAATAACTGCAGTTTCTTCGACAACTAATTCCTTCTCATCCTCGAAGACCCAGGGGCAGATAGAGGGGGCGAGGGAAAGTCTAAACGGGCGGAGAAATAAGGCACGAAGAAAAGTAAAAAACGGCGAGAAGAGCCCCTGGGGACCATGTCTTACCATACCAGTTCCTAACGGTCGCCGCCGTTCTGACTTCTGATTGGTGCCAGAAAACTTTTGTGTTTTTCTGCCTAATCAGAAGGCAGAACGGCGGCGACCGTTTGGAACTGGTCTGATAAGACATTGTCCCCAGGGGCTCTCCTCGCCGTTCTTTACTTTTCTTCGTGCCATATTTTTCAGCCCGTTTAGACTTTCCATCGCCCGCACTATCTGCCCCTGGGTCTCCGAGGATGACTCTTTCTCAATTCTGTTCCTTAGGAGCCGGCAGAGTAATGGCTTCCGTCGAGAGAGGCCTCTTGCTCCGGTGTTTGGTTGTAGACCAAGAGAGGATAAAGGGGACAGAGAAGGCATCCCCTAAACACACCCTATTCCATAGGTAATTCGTCTCGAGTTATTTTTAGAATCGGGATAAAGTTACCACGCGCGCTGGGTGGATGTTTCGTGGAGGTTTCGCATGACTAAACGCCATGCAAAACATGTCAGGCGAAAGGCAATGAAAGCGTAAAGAGATCGAGAGCATTTCTGAATATTGAAGCGAAATGAGTCGGCTCTCACCTGGGAAAAGGGAATCGCTCGACTCTTTGACAACCCGTGAAATCAGTTTAACTCGAAGTTATCGTAACCTCAGTGCTTTAATAAAACGAGAAATTTCGCCGGTCTATTGAAACCGGTCGTTTGTACAATAAAGCAAGTAGCAAATAATATTCATGTGCATGTAATTAGTTTTACAAATTTGAATTTTATTGCAGTTTTTTAAAGTTGTTAAGCGCTGTTAATCAGTGAATGTAAATAGCGCTCTAGAAGTTATTAAATTATTATTATTATTATTATTATTATTATTATTATAGGACGCCAAGTGTTATTTTTGTTGAATAATAAAAGACTAATAAAAGAATAAATATCAACGAGAAATTGCTCTCTTCAAACTGTAAATTATAAATGACGATCCTGAGAGAATATTCACTGTGTTAAGGATTTCCCTGCTGTACTGTTAGCTCTCTACAAGAGAGGAAGGGCGATTCTTTTTTAATTTCCGTGTTTTGCTGACACAGCTTTAGCAGAAATCTCTCTTTAGTCGTTTACGTCGACAAAACGAATAGCAATATTGCTCTCCGCGTCTTCCGCCATTTTGTTCTGCGTCAATTCGTGAAGGACGCGTGGCTCTGAGCGTGGGTCATCCACGCGGAACACATTCGCGCTATGTCATTGGCTTTTGTCTAATCCCCCTTGGGATCTGTGGTCTTAAGAGAGAGTCCATGTGAAAACCATGCATTATAAAAAAATCCGTCTACAGTGAACATAACGGATTTTGTTTATATTCTAGGTAGGTTTACATATTGAGGTGATAAAACCATGTGTGTAATCTTGTTGCAAAATTCCTCAACTTGTAGAAGATATTGCGATCGAAAAGATCCACGACAGGTATTATTCAAAAGGGGTTAAATTTTTTACCCAATTCACACCAAAGTTTCTACTAATGTATTGACCATTTCCCGATCAAATCATCATGTTAGATATAGTAATGACTTGTTATTCCCGTAATGGTATAATTAAGTTCAGTCGTTTTGTATTTTAGTAGTAGACATTATTTTAAAATTAGCCTTTTTGGACTACGTGTGACAGTCAGGATTTTGTGGTAAAATTATCGTTGAATATTGAAATTGCGGCGTTGTTTATAAAGTTGAAATAACACTTATTTTTTTTATTGCCATTATACAAAGCGAATATGCGAAGAAAACTGTGTAAAGTTAAATGCCACATACAATTTTTACGGTCAAAAGTTCACTATGTGTGCGTTGGGAATAACACCGGAAGACAACAGGTTTCATTTCAAGTATAGAAAAAAAATAAAGGTGAGTAAAGGACAAAGACAGATCCAGGGACTTCATACAAAATCATTGACTACTAAATTAACTTCATATATAAATTACACCCACATACTGCCTCTGTTCGAAGTCCTGCAGTTTGGAAACTGAAGTGCAAGATACCTGCCGACGTTGATCGACGGAGGAGTCAAGCAAGACTCGAAAGTCTGATTACCTAAAATCGTAAAGTTTGAACTTTTCTCCAATAGTTCGGTCTTCCTTTTCAATTGTATATCTACGCACAGTTCTTTAAGGCTTGCATTCATGTCCAGTTTGGCTAAAGATTAAAATTATGGAGGTCAAGGAACCAGGTATTGCACTTGCCGCCATTTTGTTCTACTTGTGCCCAGTCGCTCCTCGGCCAGAACCTGTGATGACAGCCTAATCTGCGATCAGCAATCACGATCGCAGGCTAATGATAGCTTGGCATTCTGACACACCGCCACCCAATAAAAATTCCTGCTTGATTAAAACTGTAATTTTTATTGTAGTCCATATGAACGTATTATTCCGCTTACGTAAATCTAACAACACAATCTTTTATGCAACATTTTTCGTGTTTGTCAAACATTTACCCGTCTATTGTTCATCTCAATAACGTCCCTGATTCTGTTATGAACAGAATCAGAATCAGCCCCATGAGCTTAGGATATGAGCGCTTTATGAGCGCTGTATAAATAAAGTTATTATTATTATAATATCGCAACTCTATGTGTTGTGCTAATCTAGGGTTGGGAGAGTAGATCGTTGACTATTCTAAAGCGATAATGTTAGAAAAGAGGCAATATATCTAAGATATATTGCGATTCATTGCTATCGATACACATGAATACCACTATCAACACCTGTGGAGAGCAACTATTAGTCAGACCTTTCATATATCATGACGGGAGCTGTCAAGGTCAAGGTATCACAAGTTCTGAAAGTTTTTAAGCCTTAGCCCAATTAACAATTAACCTGCGTTGAAAATGGTTCAAGGGTTGCGCACTCTCGTCTTCTCTCATCTCTCTCTCTTTTTTTGCGGGCAATTTCTACATGAAGCTACGCTCTTTCAAAAGCGAATATTCTCCTCTTTACAAGCTTAAGTCTGATTTAATTTTTTTAACAATACAGAAATAATCAGTTTCACATAAGTTGGACAGTGTAGTAAGATACAAACAGTTACTGGTAGACTGAATTTAGCGCGTTAGCTGGTTGAGAACCCTTCTGCGCAGGTGGTATCTTTCTGAACGCTCGACTATTGCCTCAGCATCTTCTTCTTCGAGACTAACCAATGCTGCTGGTTGCTGATCGATTTTTTTCATTGCAGCCAACCTCGAAAAATAGCTATTAACTTGTTGGGGAGTGAGCCACTCGTCTTTGCCAAATATCCGAGCTCCCTCCTCGGTACGTACTGTGCGCATTCGTGCTGAAGCTTCGGCAGGGGTGACTTTCCGACCAGTTTCTTCACCAATCATGAACTGCTCGAGCAGATAGTTCTTAACTTTAACAGAAAATCTGCTTCTTCGCTTTGATTTAGTCTGCGCCCACCCCATAGACAAAACATTTTCTTCCGTTACTCCAAAGGACAAACTGGCCGTTAAGGCACAGGAGGGATTTTGTGGTTTCAAACTTAAGCAATGCTCAGCCCATTTGTGTCTGATCTGGTCATATTGTGACTCTTCGTGGAGTTTAATCTCATGGCGGCCAAAGTCCAAGTGTCTCTGAAGGGTTTGATTTGTTCTGAACGTCTTGATACAGCCCTGTTCGGGGCAAGTGAACCAAGGAAGGCCTCGTTATTTGTAGGAGAAACGACGGTCTGTTTGGTTTGGTCACCAGGCAGCCGCGTCGAAGCTTTCTTTAACAACCCGGTAGCGTTAACTGGATCACAAAAAGGCAATATTACTTTCACTCCTGTCTCACTCTGTGGCTGGCCCACCTTAGCAAGCTCTTGTTTGGAAATTTTCCTACCTTCCCCAACTTTAAACGCCTTCGAGACAGTCATTCCACCATCTTCAGTATATTCGAAGTTGTTTAACTGGCTAATACCACTTAACTTGGGCGCGTTAGTTGTTTGCTTTCTTGTGTCTAATTCAATCACTGATGCTCGACAGCCCTTTATTCCCCCATAGGAGTCAATAGCTTCCTTTAATTGACGCGCTGTTATAACATCGTGACCTAAAACAAGACAGAATTATCCGTAAAAACTGTCAAAAGAAGGGTGCTGTGAACCGTTGGCGGGCCAATTAAAACTCAGAACGTTTTTTGTTACTCGTCGGACTTTTTGTGGTCTTCGGAAATGCAAATAACTTTACTATTTTTACAGCCTCTTATTAATTTTTAATAGCCCTGAAACTATTTGTCACCTTCATTAAGATATCTTCCGATGTGTTCTTTGAGGGGTGCTATCTTTCTGTCGCAGACATCTTTCCCGCTGTTCGCCTCACTGAAGCTGTAATTCTTAAGCGCCAACCCCCCTGTTCTTGTAATGGTTGGCGCACTGATAAGTAACGCAGCGTTGTGGTAGCAGCCAGCGTTGTCACTTCGTAAAAATGGTTCTTTCAGAAGTGGGGACAACCGCTTAAGCTGCTGAACAAGGTCTTCCAGAATCGATAAGACTGCAAACCAATCTTGGTTGCCTTTATCAAGAATGTGAACGAAAGTCCGAACCTTTGGAAAGAAAAAAATACAAAAAGATTGTAACAAAATGACCATTAAAAATTTTTAATGTAACGCTAACTGTAGCCTATCGATTACAAACGCCTACATTGCTCTCCCTGCTCACCTAGAGTAACGACAACTCAGAAAAAAAAAAAAAAACAAAAAAAAACAAGAAGACCCAGGAACCCCGATGTTGTCATATTTCCGAGTGAAATGACATAAATTCTCTCTCTCTCTCTCTCTCTCTCTCTCTCTCTCTCTCTAGAGGAAAAGTAGGGCACTTTTGTTACTTCTTTCCCTTTTGATAATAGCATTGTCAATTTAAAGTGGTAACTCGTGAAACTTAAACTATACACAGTTCACTTAAAGTAACATACGCATGTAAAAAGACAAATTCGAGCGTTAAAACAGAAGAGAAAAAGCTGCAAAGATGTCACAAAAAGGTTACAAAAGGGCCCTACATCGTGGTAGGTGCTTTTTAAAATGCTTTTCACACCTTTTTTGCATTTAATTGTAGCTATTACTTTACCATTTATACTCCATACGATTCCCTCGCTGGCCACAACACTTTAAACTGGAGATATCGAGGCCGGGAAAAAAACGCCGTGAACATGTTTGACTTTTCATGTCCATGAAAGGAATCACGATTCGGAAAAAGCCCATTTTTGAAATGGAAAGTTTCAAAACGTCAGTGTGACCTTTTGAACCAATCAGCATCCGCAAAATTGTGGTGGAAGTTTAGTTAAGTCTATTGTTAATCTAATAAGCGAAACACAAAGTGAAATGGTCGTTTCCTTATTTTTTGGTGATTTTTTAAAGTTACTGATATCTCGAAAGTGGCCCCGTTACGAAAGTTCCCTTTTTGCTAGAAGTTCCAGCAAGCAATTTTACCGTAATTTGTAAGAGATAAAAATCAAAAAAGCAATCAATCTAAACACCACTAAAGTAGAAGTAAGTGGGCGAAAATACAGGTCCTTCCTTTAAAAAGTAAGGCCCTGGGCCAGCGGAAAGGTGTTCTAACCCCTTTTACGCATTTTGCGCTATTGGGTATACGGGTATATTGTTTGCGCAGTTACAAGTAAATGCGTGATTCCTTTCCATCGATGAATTATGAAGTTGTTAAGCATGATGGAAATAATTTTAATCAAGAAAAAAATCATGTGTGGTCACTGGTGTCAAACATGCATAATGGAAAGTTATTCAATTTCAGCGCTTCTCTAAAGGCCCCGCCTTTATTGCGTAGTCAAATAGACTACAGGTTAAGGATCATTAAGGCTAGGCTCCAGAACCATTTGAGCTTCTACTTTAAGCCGCATGAATCTATCAAACGGGACAACGGTGGACAACGAGTTCTTTTATTTCAACGCAGGACACGGCATTGAGGGCACAGCGATAAGCAAGACAAAGTAGTACACAGCATTCCCGTAAGTCTTCATCGTCGTTGACAACGCTCATCAAGGCCTATTCCGTTCATCTCGCAGATGGTCGCACTTGCCAAAAATCTCTTTGTTTTTCTTAACTCTGCTTTGTAGAGAAATTTTCAAAATGAAATTTAATGTAGGTGAGAACAGACGAATTTCCAGATCGGCTTCGCTTTAGACAAGAAGGGGGTTGGTTCCAAAATGCTAACCAATTCTTAATGGAAGATATGACTAAAAGATACTTGCAGTGAATAAGCCTTTAGACTTCTTACTTATGATGAAATATTATTGAGTATGCGACACGGCTTAGTCGATCGCAGAGCTAAATTTTACCACTCATATTTGCCTTTTCCAACAAAAAGCGACGGCAGTAACGGATCACGCACAGTGAAGAAAATTGAGCATGAGGGTTTATGAGTACTCTGTACGTCAGGTAAGGGTGAGTCAATTTCTTATAGGTTTTCGTTTGGTAAAAACAAGTACCATTTCAATGATCAACTAAAATTTCTAGAGAGGACAACACTTATTTTCTTCTCTCCACATTGGTACGCGGCTGCTGACACTAAAATAGGCAAAATGGTAGATTCGAATTCATTGCAATGTTTAATTTCAGCTGTGTAACAACAACAAAGGCTAATAAAACTTTACAACGAGAACACCCGTTGGTAAAGATTACGAGTACAAATATGGTAGATGCATATGCAACATCGCACGCCCCTTGGATTTTTGCTGTTGTAAAGTATAAAAATAACAACCAAATGCGCGGAACATCACATCATCATCATCATCACTATCACATAACTTTTTTGGGGGATCAGAGTAGAAAGCACTGCGAGTGGAAAATCAAATAGACGGTAGCGAAAATAAATCTCCGCCGCCTTGATTATGAATTAAAGTTATTCACTCCTCAAACTGAACTGTGTAGAACTGATTTGCCTAGTGTTAAAATGGATCATGGGATACATACAGCAATGTAGGCTATGCAGTGTGCTCACAGTCAGACAGCGGTGTCTACCAATTCGCACAGCTTCGTCGATCAACACGTACTTTTTGCATCGCCGATCTTACAGTCTGATTAGTTCCGTAATAAATTTAAAGTACGTCCAGTGACGATTTTTTAAGGTAAGTTTGGTTTAATTTGTTTGTCACTCCCATGAAATGTAAAGAAGATATCTGCACATCACAAAATGGCATCAACGCCAGTGAGCATATTATTGTATTAAAGACTTTATAAGCTTTACATGTACGCATACATGTGCGCCACTCTAGCGCAAAGAGACACTAGGAAAAAATGGAGGAAGACTTGCACTCACTCATATTGCCAGAACAGATCAATGAATTTGAAAGAAGCGAAGCTTCCCGTGAAGCTATCTGTCTTCTAGAGCAGCTGTCAGGTGCCCACTGCATTACCTTAACGCAGGCTCAATACACATTGGTAAGAGACTTCTTAATTGTCGAAATTTCTGTAGACAATGCCATCAGATCGGGAGCCCTCGCAAACATGACGATGGGGGAGTTTAAAAAAAGGAGAAAAGAAGGTGAAGACAATGTACTTCTAATTAAGGATCACAAGACCCTTGAAAGCCATGGTGCGGCAAGAATTGTTTTAGGCGCCAAATTAGACAGCTGGATGACCATATTTGTAAGAGAGGTTCGTTCCCAAGTTACTGGTGTTACAAATGATGATTACAGTCGCGTGTTCCTGTCATGGAATGCACAATCTCTAGCTTCAAGCCAAATAAGCAAGTCGATGAAGTCCGTATGGAAAAAGCAAAAATTGATGGCGATCCCAGTTCAACAATATTGCGAAAGTCAGCAGTGTCAAAAGTACACAATGTAGCCAGCAGCAGCGAAGAGCATAATGATCTCGCCAATCTGATGGCTCATGGCGTCGCAACTGCACACAAGTACTACAGACTACAGGAGAAGGCAAAGTCATCCAGCAAAGCCTCCAGGAAGCTGTGTACTGTCATGCGCGAACAACCGCAACAAAAAATAAGCCATGATCCTGAGAAAGAAAGCCAAGATATTGAATCATGCTCAAAGATCTCCGCCGAGGAGGAGTGTCAGTCCACGACGTCAAAAGTAACCTGGACGGCTGAAAGGGAAGCTGTCTTGCGGACTGTCTTTCAAGAGGAGATTAACCAAAAGGAGGTCACCATGGAGGCTGTGAGGTCAAAGATATCTAATCATGCTGAACTCAAGGACAAAGATCCTAAAAGGGTACTTGACAAAGTGCGCTCACAGTGGAGGTATGCAAAACAATCTTCTACTGAAATTGTGAGTCCCCCTTCGAAGCAGGAAACGTTACAACAACGTGTCCAGAGATCACTGGAAGAGGACGCAAACAGTGACATAATTCCACCAACAGTAACAAGCAGCGTAAAGAATATGTTTTCCTCTTCTGACAAGGAAAAGATACAGGAAGTTTTTCGTGACATGATTGAGAAAAATGCCCCAATATGTAAAACCAGAATTAAGGAGCTTCTTCAAAAGGAAAGTTGGGGTAGAAGTATCTTAAAGAAAGTCTCCTTAGACACTGTACTTAATCGAGTAAAATATGAAAGACGTCTTTACAAAAATTCAAAAAACGTCTAAAGTTAATTGACAGTATGATTGTCAATAATTCAGTGGAAATGAACACATCAAATGAACATCTCTCCTAACCCATGCTTTAATCTGCGAAAACCAGTGTAGATATAATTTCTGTATACCCAGGGCTGGTGAGGGGGAAATGAGCTTATTTGAGCTTGCATTTTGACGGTGCAGGTGTATTTACTTTATTCCTGTTAAAACAGCGATTTTAATGAGTAGGAATAAATGTTACCAAAGTTCCTCATTTTGTTACAAAAGAGCCCGATCTGGGTTTTTGGGAGTAGCGTACACACATACAGAACAAACTAACGGTCTTTCTTAGGGTGTTTAGTCACATAAACAAGTTTAATTTTGATTTCGACAATATTACCAACCTACTCAAATCCGTTGGCTTTGAATAGGAACATTTTAAATATTGTACGGCTAACGTTCGGGACAGCGTGGAAACCATTTAGAGGGGTCTTATCGTGGTTTATCTTCGGCCCGCTTTCAAGTGCACCTTTTTATTGATTTACAAAGAACCGGCTCTTCAATTTATTAAAAAACACGAATAACCTGTTAGAAACAATGGTGATAGCACACAGGGTTTACTGTTACTCTGGTTATTGTTCTAGTTTTAAGTGTTGAAATCATGCGTGGATCCAGCGTACGCGTACGACTATCGCATTTGTCCGTTGAAGTATTTTTTGGTTGTTGTTCTTTTTATGCTTTACAAAAACAAAAAAAAACCGTAAGGGGCGGGCGATGTTACAAATGAATGACCATATGTGTACCGGCTAATGTTTACTAACGAGCGTTTTTTATATAGGAAAGGTCTCGTTGTAAACGTTTTTTAAACTCTTTTGAACTCTTGAACTTGAGTTATTTTTAAACTTTTATTAGTCTTTGTTGTTGTTACAGTTAATTTGATCCAAATACACTCTTTTTTATATAAGAATGTTGTTTTCCCGGCACGGGCTGAATGTTTTTATTTTACTGTCTATTTAAGGTTGAAAATATTCTTGAACTATTCTTAAATTATAGCTTATGGTATTCCCATTTTAGAATGTATTGAGGTTTCAATTACCAGTGTTCTTTGTTTAGATCTGTTTAAAATTGATAATTTTATACGGTTAAGTTAAAGACATATGACTGTACTGTACAGGTATTTACAGATTTTTCAACATCAAATTTAGTCCTTTTCAAATTCTCAGCCTGGGGTTTATTCTTAAAATTTCGCAATTTTGCCTTGATACTCTCATAAAACATATTCTTATAGGATAAAAAAGAGTGTAAAGGAGAATGTTAATTTAGGAGAAGTCTTGAATTTGGGTTTTTTGTAGACTTATATTAGTCGTTGTTATTGTTACACTTAATCTAGTCTGATCCTATTAATGGGAAATGCTCATGTGAAGCCTTGAACTTTTATTAGCCTTTGTTGTTACACAGGTGAAATTAAACAATGACATTACGATGAATTCGCCCAAATCTATCATCAGCCTATTTTCAAGTGTACAGAACGACATCACAATATAAGCTTTTCAAGCTTCGCGTGCTCTAAGTCAAGTCATTGTTTATTATATAAAGACAGTAGTCGCCACACTAAGGTCAGTAAATAATTATCAGCCATTTGGGAATTTCGTTTTCCAAGTGAACCCAACCCATGTTTCAAATTCCGCAAAAATGGCGATATATTTACTGTATACCCAGGTTTGGTGGGCGGAAAGAAGAAGGATGCCGGAATTTTCTCATTGTTAGTGAAAGTAAGGTAAAAAACCGACTGCTCTGGAGTAAGAAGGGAGCAGTTAGAGCTAACTTTTTTTTTCGAACGGGCCGGCGTTGCGCCCCATACAGTTCCATGTAACATATTGTACCCCTGATCCTAGTTTTTAAAGTAACTTCTTTTTTGAACTGGCCGGCGGCGCGCCCCATACAGTTCCATGTACGATATTCTACTCGTACTAGCTTGAACTTAATTTTAAAATGACAACTTTTATTTAACTTGCATGTCGTAAGAAAGGCTATTAACATTCGTAGGACGGCGAACCGGCGGACATTTCAAAAGCGACTCAAACATATTGCCAGAAGAATGTATCAATGTAAGGCTACATAAGGCTATATAGAAAACCAGCCTTTTTAGACTATAAAAACATCAATTGAAAAAAGTCGAAAAATTGACATTTTCCCAAAGAGATTAGTCCATGGTTTTGGTAAAAATTATGAATTTCTTCTTCTTTTCTTTTTAGGCCAAATAGGCTAAGAAAAAGTGTTTCGTATTGTTCTAGATAGAAAACCAGTCTTTTTAGACTATAGAAACATCCATTTAAAAAAGTCGAAAAATTGACGGTTTTCCAAAGGGGTTAGTCCATCGTTTTGGTCAAAGTTTTGAAATTTCTTCGTCTTTCTTTTAAGGCGAAATAGGCTAAGAAAAGGTGTTTCGTATCGCTCTAGATAGAAAACCAGCTTTTTTAGATTATAAAAACATCAAGATGTTCGGATATGTACGGCCATGAACGGCTATGCACGGCTATGTACGGCCATGCACGACTACGTCAGCCATGTACGGTCATGCACGGCCATGTACGGCTATGTACGGCCACGCAAAGGCTATATAGGGCTATGCACGACTATATACAACAATGCACAGCTATGCACGGCCATGCACGACTATGCACGGTTATGTACGTCTATGTATGGATATGCACGGCTATGAACGCGGCTACGTACGGCCATGAACGGCCATGTACGGCTATGTTCGGCGCGCCTCATATTGCCCCTTCCTGTTACATGTAACATATTCTACTTGTGATTACTAGCTTGAACTTCATTTTACACAGGTAAAATAAATCAATCACATCACGATAAATCAGTATCTATCATTATGCCCATTTTTTTAAAGTGCACGAACCGAGAGCGCAATATTAGCATTTAAGCTTCGGGCGCTCTGAGTCAAGTCATTGTTTATGTAAAGAAAGCAGTCGCTAAGCTAAACTCAGCAAAAGAAAAAAAAAACAGACACACAGTCACACGTCTAATTCTTTTTTATTAGCCATTTGGCAATTTTGATTTCAAAGTGAACCCATGCAACGGCATGTTTTCATTTTCAGTTTGCAAAAATCATAATACATTCTTACTGTATATCCAGGTGATGATAATATTTACTTTATTCTTGGCACATAGTGAGGGAATGACGAAAAAAAGATGATTTGAATGAATAGAAATGGGTGTTACCAAAGTTCCTCATTTTGTTACAAAAGTGCCTGATCTGTTACGAAAGTGCCCGATTTGTTACGAAAGTGCCCTACTGCCTGTTACGAAAGTGCCCTATCAGAGTTACAATAGTTCCCTACCGTTACAAAAGTTCCCTTCTTCGTTACTAAAGTGCCCGAGGTGTGTTACAAAAGTTCCCTTTTTACGTTACAAAAGTGCCCAATCCTCTGGCTCTCTCTCTCTCTCTCTCTCTCTCTCTCTCTCTCTCTCTCTCTCTCTCTCTCTCTCTCTCTCTCTCTCTCTCTCTCTCTCTCTCTCTCTCTCTCTCTCTCTCCTCTAAACGGGGTGCTAGTCCATGAAAAGTTACATGTAACCAGCGGTATATTTATAAGCCTGGGTGGGGCAAACATGCGCCCACGGTGCAAACTTAAACCTGAGTGGACCTGTATTTTCACTAGCGGATTCACACCTTCAACTTAGCAGAGAGTCTCTGCTTATCCAGAACATATATATCATGTCGGCCTTGCGGCCTCAGTTTGACCTAAGAAGAGGGTGGTTGCCCGAGTTCCCCAGGGACCCAGGGACCCAGCCTCCCCCTAGATCTGCCATTGATTCCCGTTGTCTCACGTACAACACTTCACTAGATCTGCGTTTCCGTCCACACACGGAGCACATGTCTGTTTGTTTTACATGCACTCCAACGGACAGGGGCAAAAAATATATATCTTTCACTTCATCTTCCGCAAAAACTATGCCTCTACAGAGCAGCTAGCACGAAAAAAAAATGCATTACACGTGCGTTTATGGCTTGTTCGTAAGGAATCAAACTGATTTTTTTCTGACAAATCAATTCAAGTGACATGCTTTGAAGTCTAAAGATAATAAGAATCAGAAAGCAAATTTGTTTACGTCAAACTCCGCTTCCTCGTTATCAGGTCTTGTTATGCAAACCATTCTGCCTGGGTTTCTCTGTAGCTTCTTAGGAGCCATTTCATGGCCCAATCCATCACCACTAGCACCTGCCGCTCAATAAGATTATCAAGAATGTTAATTTTGGCTTTTTCTTGGTTGGTAGCTCTCACTATGTGCGATTTCCAGTCCACAACTCTTTCAGTGGCTTTCTCGATGTCATATTTGAGCTCTTCTTTCTGTTCCTGGTAACTGAAAAAAAAATTGATTTTGAAATAATGACAACATTACAGAAAATGCTCTTTTGGAGATTTCACCAAGCGAGATGAGTACAGTGAAGAATGGAAAGGGAATGAATACTAATTGTTCGCGCTTTTTCACTTGTCTTGTGCATTGGCTGTTAACAATATAATCGTACAATGAAGAAAGCCTTAGACAAAGGTTAAGGCACTTGTCGTAAGCGACAAACTTCTACTTTTTTGTTTGTTTGTTCTTGATGTCGTTGTTTCTTTTTTCCCGTGTAACAGACGCTAGGGACAAGGGTACCAACCTTAATGTTTGCAACAAAAAGCGCGGGTCGCATTTTCCTTAAAGTCATAAATATTTGGCATATGTCTAATAGTATGCAACTGAATTTTTTTACCTAAACGAAATATCACCACTGTCTAGTCCAGCAATGATGTCGTGAGCGACGTTTGCACAGTCTAAACATCGATCACACTGCATAGTGTGTTCATGGCCAGAGGCCGTTTTGTACTGGACATCATCGGATGATAGGGCGAATCGTATACAGTGATCAGCACAAGGACTTTCCTCCAACACATGAAGTTTGTAATCAGCTTTTAAGTATCGTTTAGCTGCTCGTACCCTTTGTCTAACGTTATCAGCCCACTGGAGAGATGAACCTACAGCAAGTACAAATAAATCGGCTTATACTCTAAATCTCACCTAGCCAAGTCATCTACAAGCGATCAAAAATTAAATAGGGCATAAAAGAAGAATAGACGGTGGGGTTGGTTACAAACATACAGGTTGTAGGTTAAGGTGATTCTCTAGTTTTGCATTGCGCATCTCTTACTGCGCATAACAAGATGGCCTCCGTAAAAAAGAGCATGTGAAGTAACATTATTAAAATGAAGTTGACTGAAGAGAAACGCTATTGCAATTTTTGCTTGCTGTTGTTTCTTGTCCAGGAAAGACTCAATTTGTTGGGAATGTGCATAACGTAAGCAGTACGCGTGTTACTGAGTTCGACTTCCTCACGGAGAACCTCGATAGTGGATGTTTAACTTGTGCTTACTCACTTTGATTTTCATTTAAACGCTTTCTTCATCACATTGTGTCCTAAATGTGATATCTCGATGTAAATTCTGTAAAAACGGATTTCTTAATACTTTCTTCCCCCTTTACCATGCATTCTATTTGAAACTCGCCCCAGTCCTCTCTCAAAAATCGAAGAAAATGCATTTGGTACGCACGTTCTGCAACTCTACGGCAAAAACGAGTACAGTGACCCCCATTTTTTATTTCATGATTTTAATAAGGCCAGCGCTTCCTTTCGATGAGAAAAAAAATTGGCACAAATCTATGTTCAGTTTTTTGGCAATTTTACTAAATTGTACTGATTGAGCTACCAAGGGTCGAATAGCGCGTGTCTAATTTAATTCCACTTTAGAGCGTAAAGTAAAAACAAGGGCATTAAAAGGCATTTTTCTGGTACGTAAGTGGATAAACCGTACATTAAAGTCAAATTCTGTGCGATACCACAAGCATCATCGAAAAAATCTCTCCTTTTTGTCTAGTTTTGGCTGCCCGCGGTTTTTGTAAATGCTCCCAAATAGCCGTATTTGTCATCATTTTCACGTCAAAACGAGCACGGTGACCCCCACTTTTTATTACTTTTTTACCATCTTCTTGACTTGTTCAATCAGTGTACCAAGTTTAATGTACAATCCATGTTAGGTTCTATTACTAATGAATCACCTGAAGCGTACCTAGAGATGTCATAGTTTCTACAACCTTTTCCAATGTATCAAATGCTGATGCACCTTCGCTTGTGACGTTATCAAGGCCGGCAAGGGACTTTTTCTGGGAAGCTGCACATATCTGTGAAAGAAAAAATTTGGTAACACATCACTACATAACGTGGCTTTTTATCCTGCTTCTCACAACCAAAGAGTCTAGAGTACTTGCAGCCGCTATTTTACACTCTTGTTAATTCTGACCAAAATCACAGTTAATAGTTCAGACTACTCTAGTTATTTTTTTCTTTACCTTAAGGATAGAAAATAGGGTCGATCTACCAAGAGGTTGAAAGCCAACTTCACTGCAATACAACTGATATAGTTTGACCATTCTGGAACTAATAACAGTGCGCACTAAGTCAGGTATCTCCAAACATTCTCCAGATGACAGTTTTATGTTCCTTGTACCATAGGCTACATCCTGAAGGTAGTGAGGGCTACTTATAAAATCTAGGAAGTGGTCGACTTTCTCTCCTTCAAGACGATAACGCATCACGGGTTCTCTAACTTCAGAATGGCCTGCACCAACAACCACAGCATGCTTTCTTGCTTGATCAATTCGCCAAGTTGTGAGGCCTGGAACCAGGTCTTTCAGTTGCGTTTTAGTGTAGTGCTGCGCAAAAATAGACAAGATTGTCATTTTTGTATACCAAGATGTCGCGCCTTCGTAAAGTGAAAGCAGGGTCAGCATAATGTTGTTTACTGGTTCAGGTTCTATTAGCGTTGGATTTGCGACCAATGCAAGAGGTTCATTAGACTGCCCTGGTGCAATACATTCTAGTGTTGTTCCTACTACTTCTTTGGACTTGCGTCTTATGTAGGAGCGCGTGCTTCTGGCGACATCTTGAATTGGCTGCGTGAGTTGAAAGCGCACCGGACTAATTCTTCCACCGCTTAATCTTTCAATATGCTGATTTAGAACTTCCAGCCCGCGATTTGGTGTAGGTGTTGGAAGGTATTCTTCTTCCTCTTCTTTATCTAGACATAGCGATCGCATCAATGCAGGAATTGGAGTCATGATATCATCAAGGTGACTCTCAAGTCTATAGTATTCTCCTGGTTGAACCTTAAAAAAGAAAAAAAAAATAGCCCTTTGTGGTGACGCGCAGGTGTCCGCAACACTAACGATGAATTTCGGTTTAGATTTTTCATGAACAAGTCAATTCCACATGCGGGGAGCGCATCACTTGATCACCATCACTTGTTTGGGCTTTCTGTATTAAAATAACAGAGTATAGTACATGCACCTGACACTACCCACCTGCACACGTCTTGGTCTGGACAAACTGGTTTCAAGTTCCTCAGCGATGTCATCCTCAAACACTTCACTTTCTGGCTTTCTTATATTCTTGACCAATTTCGTTTTGTATAGAGAAAAAGAAAAAGTGTCACCTTTCTTCTGTTTTTGCCCCTTACACTTTTTATACGCCAAGCCCTTTGCATTGATTTATAAGTGTTTATTTTATAGCTAAATTTTATCTTGTTCAAGGAGCACTCTTTTCTTATAGTTTCCCGAATTTCAATTCAATTAAATTGATTGTTGCCTATGTTATAAATTTACCTACGTTCCCTGTTTATATGGTGAAAACGTTCCTTGGGTAGAAGTTTTAAACGCCGAGCTACCATGGGCGAGCCAACTGTTCCTAGGTTTCCTTACAAAACTTGGCCAACCCTTTAAATGAGAATCAAAAATTTGACTAAGCAGGAAGGGTTACGCGCCTAGTGGGGTCGATTCCGTCAAGAGGAGACAATCACCCTGATGTATAAGCTCTTTTTGGCTCGTGTCTTGTTTCTTATTTTTGGTTTCTCTGTTTTTTTTTCCCTTAACAACGCTCGCTTAAGTTGACTTGGCAGGAAGAGTAACCCTCTTTCCCGGGCCAACCGGGAAAGTTACATAAACGAGTTTTCATTGTCCCTCGCGCCGTTAAGCAAAAGGGCGTGGTGGAACAAGAAAGAGACTTACATTCTGAGCGACCAAAGCTGATACACCTGCAAGGCTCTCTAATAGAAACCTTTTTTAATCCAACTAATAAACCATTTTTTGCTACTGACTTTACTGCCGTCATAGTTTATGTAAATATACGTAAAACCACGATCAAGTTGTCGTAAGGTTTATCATGACGTAATGTGTACTTACCTGACATGTCGAACTCGTAGATGGTCCAAACTTCGAGTGCATATCCAAACATTTCATGCAAATACCTAAAAGATCCGAAGAAGGAAGTGAGATTTTTTACGAACTTAGTCTTTAAATTAAACAATGTCAAATAAACTAAATATGAGCTAACCTTGTCCGATCTGACACAACACATTCCATTTCTGATATATTTCTTCCGATAAACGTTTAGTAATTCCTCTGGTCGGTTTTTGTTTGCTGTTACGCAGAGGATATTTGCATGCTTTGCTTGGTCGCCAGCCTAATCCGAACTCATCTCTGTGTAAGGGACAAATAGTTAAACAATCTCCGTCTTCCTGGAAGAGTCCTGCTCGGTAGAGGCAGAGTTTCCACTCAAAATCTACTCCTTTAGCCGTTGTTTTGTAGCAACCTCTCAGGTGAGGACAAACGTCTTTTGTACACGTTTTTAATGGCGCAATGGCTGTTTGTGCAGAGTATCGTCTGGACACACCGCATTCCTTACTAGAATAACACTTAAAAGAACACTCAGCCATCAGGATCGAAAGTGTGAAATCTGATATCAAACGTCACGCAATCATTTCCTTCTGTTATTCTGGTCAAACGTTTTGCTAGCTTCTCTTCAGAACAAAATCTATAGTTTCGTTTCAACTCAGGACAAAAAGAAGACTTATGCTCATTTTTATCCAAGTACCTGGTAAACAAAGGCAGAAGTGTAGACTGAAGTTGATTCCGCGGATCAAATCTGTTAGTTTATACGGCCTGTCGTTTATCTTTATTTTGATCACGTCTGTTTTGCTGTTTCATTGCTAGAGGTTATGACGACAACATGAGCGTTTTATATTGAAAAAAGAAGGTAAGAGAAAAATTCACTAAATCTCCCTATTCGATTTAACCGTAAGCTGCTCGTGTTTAGAAATCCAAGTCATTTGTTAGTGTTGCCATAATCTCAGTTTAGGTGTGTTTTGGTCAAAATTGCATTGTATCGCAAGGTGAACTAACTCGAATTTTTACATAAACACAATTTGTTTTAAGCGACACGGGATTATTTTAATGTAATAATATCAATAAAAGTATTTTTTCTGTCACCTGTCGGATAAAGTTGATAAATATCAGCTAAATCAAGATTTTATGGTTGGCCTCATTTACATTAGCGTTAAAATAATGGTCACTTTCGGAATGCAAATAACAGTAACAAATAGTAACTTTACAAAGATTTTTTGCTACATATGGTAAGAATGTTTCTTTGATTAACTCAAGATGGCT